ATGGCCATAAGAATCCACTACTTCTCAAATTCTTTTAAACATAAGAAACAGCATGATGAAAAAGAAAAGAACAACGATCCAGAAGGTTTTCTATATCTTATTCCATGCAATTGTTTGATTTTGAGCATTTTTCCACTCGCCCTGATGTCCCAGCAGTGAAGGAGAACTACTGTGGAGGAAGATGAGGAAAACAATCCTTTTGCATCATAATCTACAATAAAATAGGAAAATCTTCTCTCTATATTTTATCACTATGTCACTTTTCTGCAATTAGCCACAGCATAATTCAAGACAAGAAACAAATTCTTACACTTTTTTTTTATTAGAGATAGCACCTTTTCACGCATTTTAAAATCAGGCATTACTCAATAATGTTGCAAATAACTTCTACTAAAACAAAATGCCATAGTGCACGCAAGAATTATAAAGCTATCTAGCTGAAATCCTGTATTCTTCATATACAAATAAATAGCAAATAAGATCAAATTTAGTTGAGCTTTTTAAGTGGAACAATCATAATTTCCATGTAAATTTTGATCTTCTCTAGAATTTCATCTTCATTTTTAGCCAACACATACTATATATTCAACCTACAAAATTTTTTTGTGATTCCTTGTGCCTATAGCAGGTATGTGTCCCATAGCAAATAGTGTCCCATACAGCCTCTGCTTTACTAGGCCTTTGAACAATAGCATATTTAGAGATTGGTCAAAACTTATTTCCAATATAAAGGAAAAGGGTATAAATACACTGTTAAGCATGTACTTTAGTTTATTTTCTACTTATATGTTCAAAAGTTTTAATATGTGTATTCAAGTCTATCAATCTTCAATTATGGTTTTTGCCTTTAACATCATAATAGACAAGATTATAAAATTATTCACTGATTTACGTTGTTTCAGTTATGTCACACTGTTCTTTTTTTTTTTTTTTTTAAAGATTTATTTATTTATTTATTTATACGAGCACTGGGTACAGTCAGAAGCGCGGGAGGGTGAGAGAATTCACCAGAGCCAGAGTGGGGAACAGAACACGCAGACCCATGAAATACACTGCTGAGGGGAGCAGCACGTGGCAGGAGAGGTCTGCGCGCCATGTGGGACCCTCACCGTCAGCCGGGGATCGAACCAGCGCTGCAGAGGATGTGGGCAGCTTTGCAGCCCAGCGCTCAACCGCTGCGCCACCAGGGGAGGCCCTGTTCTTTTCTTTTTTAATGAATACAAAATTTATTTGTATATTGTGTGAATAAGACTCTATATATTTTCTAACATTAACCAATTATTGCACTTGTGTTTGTTGACTAGTCTGTACTTTCTCTACCAACATGTATATCATTACATTTTAAGCTTAAATCTGTTTGGGGAATTTTTAAGTTAATATAGCTCCTCTAAGGCTCTGTTTTAGAAAAAGTACTATACTGTAGTAATTATAAGTATACAATATGCTTTAATACTTAGAGTACAGCAAATTCATTCTTCATTATTCTTCTTTTCAATTGTTTGCATTTCCCAGACTGTCCAATCTTCCAAATTAATTTTAATAATGATTTTTGCCAGGTTCTCCCCAAAAATTTCTTTGGGGGTTTAAATAGAATTGCATTAATGTCATAAATTCATTTGGGAACATTAACATCTTATATTTATTATTCTCATCTAGGGAAACAATATAAATCTCTATTATTATTTTATTTTTCTCAATTAAATGTTATTTTCTTCATTTAACTTTTTCATATAGTTTATTTATAGACACGACATCCTTTGCTATTATAAATGAGTCTTTCATCCTGGTTTCTATATGAGCTGGGATAGAAAAATCTTTTGATTTATACACATTTTTTCTTTGTGTGCCCACTTAATTAAAGTCTCTTAATCTAGCATTTAGTCAGTTGAATTTTTTTGAATTTTAGTTTTAAAAATTTATTTTAAAGGAAAACAGATGTAACTGTAACCATTGAGAGGCAGCATGACACACTATTTAAGATTAAAGACTCATGAGTAAAACCATTTGTGTTCTAGTCCTGCTTCATCACTTATTAGCTGTGTGAACTTAGCCAGGTTACTTCGCTTCTTTGTCCTTGGCTTTCTAATTTGTAAAATGAGAATGACAGTAGTCTCTATCTCATAGGATTATTGTGAATAATCAGTTAATATTTGTCAAGTATTTTGGAACATTTTGTAGAATATATAAATTTTAAAATGTTAGTCATTTAAAAAATTTACTGCCTTGGCTAGAAATTATAGAATGTGAATTATAAGTGATGAATTGGGCACACAATAAACATTTAACATCTTTATCTTCTTAAAATTGCATTTTTAAATTTAATGACTGTTTTCATTTTAATAACATCTATTCCTAAATTACTTTTAGAATTGTATGTTTTTTTTAAAGATTTATTTTTATTTATGCATACAAGAACTGGAGAGTAGGTCAGAGGTATGGGAGGGTGAAAGGATTCACCAGAGACAGAGTGGAGAGCAGAAGAGGCAGATCTACTGAAATACACTGCTGATGGGAGCAGCAGGCAAGACAGGAGAGGTCGGCTTGTACCATGTGGGCTAGCTGCCTGGCTGGGGATGGAACTCATGCTGCAGTGGCTGGCAATAGCTTGATAGTGCTACAACTTAACCCACTGCGCCATGAGGGAAGCCCTAGAATTTCATGTTTTATTAAAATAAATACAGTTGCATTTTATCAAAACTTATTTAGAATCTATTAGGAAGTTATTTTAAAACCTATCCCAATATTGAATAACTTATAAACTCCTAGAATAAATGACAGTTGTTGAATTAATCTATTTTATTGATTTCTATATTCCTGTATCTAAAGTTTTAATGAACTTTTGAGATTTTTCTTTTTTTGCAACTTTTATTAGTGCTTTATAGCATTATACATTTTATTGAATGGCTAGAAAAATGTTTCATCTTTTGTAGAGTTCAGAGTGTGGAATAAAATGTTCCTTAACAGTGTACATTTTTCAACAATTAATTCCAAATACCTGATGCAAACAAGATATTTTGCTCAGCTAAACAGATAGTACTTTAGCTCCTGCCAAAGGACATAGGCTTAAGCATCAGACCAAATTAGGCCCAAAGCCTAAATTCACCCACTAGCTAAATGTGTATACTTGGCAAGGTACATTTTTATTACAGAAAATAACCATACACCCGAATCTTCATCACACAGAGTTAGCATGAGGATTTTATAAAGTTATGTTCATAATCACAGTAAGTTCCAACCATTATTAAAGATTCACAGATTATTTTACAAGCTAGCTTTAATTTTCCTTAAATACAATTTTTTCCAATTTTACTTGTCATTTTTTCTTATTATGGAGATTTTTTTTAAAGATTTTAATTATTTATACAAGAACCAGGGTACAGGCCAGAAGCTATGAAGGGTGAGAGAATTCACCAGAGGCAGAGCAGGCAGCAGAACAGACAGACAGACTGGAGCACAGGCGAGACACGAGAAGTCTGCCACGCCATGTGGGTATCTCCCTGGCCAGTTGGGAATCGAACCCATGCTGCAGAGGCTGCGGGCAACTCCACAGCACTGCGCTCAACCTGCTGCACCACCGGGGAGGCACTTACTATGGAGATTTTTGTTTATGTACAAATGTAAATGTTTTTGATAAAATTATTTGTGTGAAATTACTTCATAAGTAAAGGTAATTTCAATTAACACTTGTTATTCATGTCCTATAAATTTGAAATTTGACATTAAATTAAAAATACTCTGGTAAGAAAAGAAAATGAACCCCTCGCCATTTGTCTAAATGAGATTACAATGTGTAAATTGGAACGTTGTACTCTTTTTGAAGAAACCAGGCAATCAGCCTAAACCAAATTTAATGTCTTCCACTCTTTCCTGTTCCCTTGGAGCTTTGTTCTCAAGGGAATCAGAGTGGGCGGACAATGCTAGAGCCTTCACACAAGCTGGGGATTACTCTGTGTTCTCATCTGCAATAAGGGAGCAAAGCTTTCACTCAGGGTCAGAAAATAGAGTGCTAAGGGTCTGAAGTGTTCACAAATACAAATCCTACCAACATAGTAGAAATTTTGTGAAATATTAATAAGATTGTACTTGAATATAGACTCATTTTTAAAGAAAACACAATTTGTGAATACAGTGTGTGTGTGTGTGTGTGTGTGTGTGTGTATATAAACATATATATAAGTGAGTACATACAGAGATCTATATATATTTACATACACCTGCACAAATGGGTATCACTATATATATGTATCTTGTAGAATTTATATATATTTATATATAAAAAATTGCCATTGTATCTTGTAGAATTTATATATATTTATATATAAAAAATTGCCATGCATACCTTTATATATATGAAATATATGAGCTATATACACATCCCCAGAAAATAGAAACCCATTTCTCAAAAAAGTATTTAATATTTATGTTCACCCATCAGTGTCATCAAGAATATTTACTTGTATGTACTAATTATAAAACTATTATTAGGATCTCTAAGGGGTATAGCATTGGAAGAACAGTTAAGTTTATAAAACCTGATAGGTTATGGGGTCAGAATGGGGCGTTTGCAATTGTATGGGGGAATATAAAAATAAAATTTAATATTTAAAAAAAAAAAAAAAAAAAAAAAAAACCTGATAGGTTATATTCTGATTTTATCTTCTGCTTCAAGGGCTATAAATTCATGACATTTTCGTGGGCCAGGTGCCTATCCTGAGTACAATTTAAATAAGCACAACTACGAGTGGAAATAGCAAACCAGGTTTGGTCTCTTGGCAGACATAGAATGGAGATGTGTTTCAAGTTCTTAGCATGCATTATATGTGATTAATTTGATGATAACAATAGATAGTATTAAACTTCGATTTAACTATATTGATTTGATTTCAAAAACAAAGACTTTCTACCTGACTTTTTCTTTGCTGTCCTCTGGCTTTATAACAACAAAGATATTTTCAGAGACATCCTCAACAGCATGATCGATGGATCAAAAGTATACTTACCGCTATCTGTTCTGCCTCCTGTGTGTCTTCAATAACTCAGTGATTTCCGGCTTTCCCCAGATTTCTCTTGATTGAGTTCCTCTTCAGAATACCATGACCCCTGAAGGAAACATAAGTTGAAGAAAAGCTTGATTAAGATGAACATATCTCATTCCTTGTCTTGCAGAAAAGAACAAATGGTTCCTTGGCCAAAAACATCTAATTAAGTGACAAAATGTCACACAACTTTGAAACATTCATTGCTAGTCTTTCATTCCTCATCCTGATCTGTTTTTCTTTTATCCTTCTCTGATTTATAGCAGGGGCAGGATAAAATTCCTTGAATAAGCAGTTCAATACTCCCTTATAAACGAGGATTGTGTTTCTTTTTTGTTATTGATATTTTGTCCATCATTCAAACCCATTAATTGTATTCTGTGCAAACTTTCTTGCATTTTGCTCTAATACTATGCAAATAAACAGTGTGAAACTTTATTTCTAAATAGTAAAATCAAAAATATTTATAATACTTCTTCAGTTTTTCAGATTTCCATTAGAAATAGTTTCATAAATTGAGTGGCAACCCATCTCAAATGTAACTTAAAAACAACACATCCCTGCAGCAGTTCATTTAGGAATTTCAATGCCAAGGAACGAGGACATTGTTTTTCTCAATTATACAATATGGTGATTGAAATTCTGGAAGAGAAAATGAACCTAATAAAATCCAACCCACACATGATACCTCAGCTTCAAGAGGAAGGTTGGAAATTTGGTATCAGTAGGCACCAGAACAACTTGCATATTTTCCCCTGTTCTTATCCTTTAGCATATTTGTATCTAAAGCCCCATTTTAAAACTAACAATACAGAAAACAATTCATTTCATTTCCATAGCCATTCCTTACAGAGGTGGCTTTAAATGATCATGAGGCAAACCAGGTTCCCTTTCACTACACATTTGAGCAGACATGTAATAACTGCTTGGTTGCCTAGATGAGGAGGTATGTTTCTTTTATATTAATCAGATGATCTGTGGCTTTTTCTCCAAAGTATTGGGGCCAGCATGTGAATATTCCCATGCCTCTATGTGATAGAAGCAGAGAGAATTCAGTTTTGTCTTATGTATTAAAGAAGCAATGCTGTCTGTCTACTCTCCTCTCTGCCTTTTCAATAAGCTACCAAATCCCATCTATTCTAGGGTAAAATGTCCATCAACTCACTCTTCTGTCCAATTGCATTCCTTAAGACACCAACTAGTTTGATCCTCCTCCCAAACCATCCTCCACCCCATGAAGATTATTACCTCTTTCACTAGTCTCCCTGGTGTGAGCCAGTCCCTTTCCAGTCTGTGTTCCACACAACATTGTTGGATGTGTAATTTTTAATTTGTGTAAAACCCAAGAAAATATGTGGTAGAAATATTTCACCATTATCCTCAAAATACACATTTCCCCCAAATACCAGCAGCATTATGCTATTCCTTCTTTTAAATTAGTTTTCAAACAACTTTATTATTCTTCTCTTTCCTTTGCTTCTTGCATTTCGCACAGCTCACAAGCCGGTCAGTAAAGGGAAGGCCTAAACGCACTGTAATATGGAGGCAGAAATACCAAAGCAAGTTCTAGTTCCAGTTCATCCATTTATCAGTTGTTGATATTGAGGAGTCATCACCTTGAACATAAATGACACATCCTTTCTTATTAAATAGGGATAAAAGTTTATCCTTCCTGTCTCCCTAGGTTGCTCTAGGAATCAAGAAGGATCATATACAATGAAACACCAAATACACAGTATTGCTATTACTTTCCCTCAAGAACTGCAAAAGTAAAAACTGCTTCTTGTGTTTAACACGAGTTTCAGATTGGGATCCTAGAAAGGTACTGTGATCACACTCCTAAGTCTTACAGCTTCCTTTTGGGAATGTGATGTTCTAAAGAGTTCTGTTTTGACTTCCAAAAGAAACAAACAAAAACCCCCAAAGTAGCCATACTCTGATTTCTTTGGATTTCCAAGACATGCTGAATGTAAAAGGGAATGAAAAGAGGGGCTCAAAGTCACAAATCTTAGTTGGCCTATACTTTTATTTAATTTTTAAATAACCAAATTGTCATTTGTGGCACAAATATTAGTGCAACCTCCTTAAAACCCATTTAATCACTCCAGATATTACTGTACACTTTTCAAAAGGAAATGTATGCCTACTGCCTACCACTGTGTTGTAGGTATTTTATTAGCGCATGTGGACTGAGTATATAACAGAATAAGTTTGTTTTGCTTCTAAAGAAAAAAATAAATGTATTAATCCAAATATCATTTCATAAATAAGGAACACTATTACCTCAATTTAAGGAAGTTTTTCACTTTATACTAAAAAAGTGGATATATATATATGAACTCATGCATGTAAAGCCAACAAAAGTGTAGGAATTAAGTTTAGAATGAGAAAAGCAGAATGCTAGGGGGAAAACCCACAGCTGTATTTTCTCAAAATTTGGTGAGATGAAAGTTAATCAGAGTTCACAAAGTTTAAATTTTCCTTTGGATTAGATAGGTGCAATTAGGTAAAGATAAAAAAACTCTCAAGGAATGAAGCATAATTTTTAAATCTGAAATTTATTTTTCCATATTAAAAGGGATCTATAAATTTGTTCATTTATCCATTCTGATATTACAAAATGAGTAATTCCTAAGGGCCTCCAGAGCACGAGTTCTTATGTAAGATGTGAAAAGATGGGCTGGGTTGAACCATCGGTCACTTGTGGTTAGCAACAAATGTTCAAAGAATTGCGTACACAAGCCACATAAGACACACACCACTTGTTGTCTAGAAGGCGCATCCCCCTGTGCACTTATTATAAGACTCTGGCCCACCCTTAAAGAGCCAACTCAAATGCTCCCTCTTTTGTGAAGGTCTTTGGAACCTCTCCAGTATGGTATTAATCAAACTCTCTGAAGCATTTATCATGGCCAACTGCATTACGGCTGTGTGCGTGACAGACTTCCTTAGCAACCTATGAATATCTTGAGACAATGATTTCTTCATCCACATACGCAAGTTAGTATGATATAGATACTCAATTAGTGATGTAGATACTCAGTGCAGGGACTCAATTGGTGATTACTGAATGGAAAATTCATACATCTTGCATGAGTAAAAGATATATCATAAATTTAAAATAAACATTTCCAAACAACTTATTCTCATTCTTATAAAAAAGTAAATTTATATTTTGGTAAAATGTATGGAAAACTCATGTAATCATTTTTGAAAGTGTTCACAACAAAATTAGCATTATTCTATTCAAAATTTTTTATTTACCTTCACTTAGTTTCCCTCTCATTGGCCCTTGGCCTATAGTCTCTTCTTTCTTTTTTTTTTTTTTCATACTATATATACTTAATTACAAATATCTGTTTGATCCTTATAAACTGCTACATTTTGAAAAGCTTTAATAGTTGTTGTAGGTACATAAAATTGCAAGTAATCTGCCGCATTCATTTATTCATTCACTCATTCATTGATTCATTCAGCAATTGTCTTATCATATGATAGATAACATGGAAGAAATGCAGACCCTGTTTGAGGTAACAGAAGGGTTATAACTAGACTAGTTGATAAGAAATACACAAATGGCCAAAATCAGAATTTCATCTAGATGGCATACCTCTAATTTATCTGAAATACCAATTTAAAAAATTTTTCAGTGAAGTCTGAGTACTTAAAGAATGAATTAAGAGAAACTCATATAATGACTAAGAAACATATTCATGGGCCTCCCCGGTGGAGCAGTGGTTGAGCGCTGGGTTGCAAAGCTGCCCGCAGCTTCTGCAGCGCAGGTTCGATCCCCGGCTGCTCCCCGGCCACCGGAGGAGGGTCCCACATGGCGCGCAGACCTCTCCTGCCACCCGCTGCTCCCCCAGCAGTGTACTTTGGTCCTTCTGCCTGCTCTGCTCCCCGCTCTGGCTCTGGTGAATTCTCTCACCCTCCCACGCTTCTGACTGTACCCAGTGCTTGTATAAATAAAGAATAAATAAATAAATAAATCTTAAAAAAAAAAGAAACATTCATGTTTCTGATAGTAGTTAAGCAGTAAATCATCCAGAGTAACTGTCTTCTTAGATTCAAGCTGATATCATAAATAGTTGTGATAAGCAAAAATCAGGTTTTTAATTAAAAATGCAAGTGCTGCATTGTACAATGACTTTTACATGGCAATTTGGCAAAGCTGACCAAGAATGTTAAAAATATTGACAAACTTTAACCCAATAATTCCACTGTGAAACCTCCTTGACTCTTCAGAAACTCAAGATAACCCTCTTCTGACTTCTTGTTGCTGTTGCTGTAGGGAAGGAGAGGAGATAAAAGGATTTTAACATTTTAGAAACACCTGTTCTGTGTCATGAGCCTTGCTAGACACTTTGCATTTTAATCCTTTTAATCATCACAATTTACCACACAGAGTACTTCTTTTAGAGCTTAGAGATAGCGAGATAGATCTCTAAGGTCACAACAAGCAAATCACCGTGCCAGGACTCACGTTCATCTCTGTCTGACTCTAAAACCTGTGACTGAGCTATTAGGCTACATGATCCCTCATAATATTCTTAGACTATTGACCTGTTTTTTATATAACTTCTCTCCTGTATTATTTTTCTGTTATGACAAAACAGCAGTTTCTTGACACATTATTTTGCTTCAAATCTCAAAGCTCTAAGAAATAAGAATTTTGTGAATTAGTCAGAAAGTTTATTTGCTCATTTCCTCTAATTTTTGTTTTAACCATTTCCTCTTCCTTTACATCACATGTAGCAAAAATAATATACCTCACACCAAAAAAGAAACAACTTCAGTGCTAAATGCTTGCTGAATCCAATTTTCACATTCATAGAGACTGGATGCATGAAATGAAGCTTGATTAAAAAGACTTCCTGTTTCAGATTGTAGCCCCAAAGAATAAAATAAGCAAATCAAGTTTCTGAATGATTTTATAGTCTTCATTCTCTTGTATGCTTTCATTTCATGCTTACATTTTATCATTGTAACATATAAGCAAATTTTTTGTCAATACTGACATAAGGGCTGTCCTCATGGAATAATATGGTATTTAAAGTACACTGTAATAACCAAAAGCCTGGATTATGAAGACATATTTTCTGATTATAAAAGCTGTTATGTAAATTTATCACGTTATTTAACCTTTCTGGTCAAACCTAGACTTCTCATATATGAAATAGAATACTTCCAAAGAGGCAACGCAAATGGCTAACAGGTATATGAAAAAATGTTGAACATCACTTATAATCAGGGAACTACAAATCAAAACCACAATGAGATACCACCTCACACCAATGAGAGTGGCCCATATTAAAAAAACTGGCAACAACAAATGCTGGTAAGGATATGGAGAAAAAGGAACCCTCTTACACTGCTGGTGAGACTGAAAAATAGTCCAACCACTATGGAAAGCTGTGTGGAGGACCCTCAAACTACTAAAAATGGAACTACCATATGATCCAGCAATTCCACTGCTAGAAATCTACCAAAAGAAATAAAAGCATTAATTTGAAAGGAAAACTTCACTCCTGTCTTTACTGACACTATTTACAATAGCTAAGATATGGAAACAACCTAAATGCCCCAAAACAGATGACTGGATAAAAAAGATGTGGCATATATACACAATGGAATACTATTCAGCGTCAAAAAAGATAAACTCATGCCATTTGCAGCAACATGGATGGAGCTGGAAGGGATTATGCTCAGTGAAATAAGTCAGAAGGAAAAAGAAAAGTAGGAGGACTATGGAAACAAATAAGCGATCAGGAAAAAATAAAACACAAAGCCAAAACAAAAGTAGCAGGCAAAAGATAAATTGGAGCCATTCAGCAGTGGAGGAGAAGTGACAGGGATTAGAACAGGAGCGGGAAGAGCACAAGAGACTATGGTGATGGTTCAAGGGTGACTTGGTGGGAATTCTATGGGGCCTACACCTGAGAGGAACCACAATGTAAAAAAAAAATATATATATATATATACACATATATTTATATAAAGTACCTTATCACATAAAGATGTTGGAAGGTTTACATGACAATTTAAATAAATCACAAAACAATTATTGCACTTAAGATGCTTAAGATTTATTAATATTCTTACATAACTATTATAATAGAATGCTGCTACCAATGCTATAGATGATAAAATAGTAAATAATATCACTATTAAATGTTAAGTAGTTTAAGTAAGGCATCTTAGGAAAACATTTAAATTTTCTATAACGATTAATGAACTAGATCAGCAGTGCTCTAATTGAATGGCTGAGACACATTAGTATGTGTGCATACATACAGGCAAAACAAAAATCTCAGGGTATGGCTTGTGAGGAAATTTTAAGTTCTTAAGTACTTTTAAAAAGAGATTATAGGTCACTTAAAGAGTGCAGACCCTAACACTAACAAAGAGGTTTCCCTTTGTACCGGGCGCAAAATCCTACCTCCTAAACCCTCTGAATGAGTAGGCAAACACTTACAGCCCAGGGCCAGAGGTACTTGATAAAAATGTAGAGCAGGGAGGGAGATAAGAAAGGTTTACATCACTTCTCTCTAGCTGGCCAATGTTAATTATTTCTCAAATGTGGCAGTTGTATTTTCCTCTACTTCACACTTTAGCCTTTGATGCAACTCTGTTATTTCCAATATTGAAACAGCTATATTTTGGCCTTTCAAATATGTGCCTGAATCTTAAAGAGAAGCAATTGCTCAACACAGGTGACTTTAACTTCTAAAAGTAAAATTCAGCCTTCTTACAAGAGCTGATTGGTTTCAACATGTTATCAACTCTCCTGAAGAGTCATTTATGATCTGTGTTAATATTAAAAGTAAAATAGGATGTGGCCTTGGTAAATTATTTTCTGACCTTTATATTCAGAAAGAAAACTGAAGCAGTATCTCAAATATTAGTATAAAGTTCTTCAAATTGATATTAAGTCAAATACTTTGTGATTCAGGCCCACTTAACCAAACAGAGTTAGCTTGCTAGCTTTCTCAAATGGAAATGTTTGCTTTGGTTAACTAACATTAATAGGCAAAGTTATGTTTCTCATGCAACATAAAGAAAAACTGCTTTCTGTTGACCCAGAAAACTTCACTTGAAACTAAGCCTGAAGGAGAAGGAAACTCAATGAAAGTTTTCAAAATAGAAGTCTGGTTCTCACAGCTACCTGCCTTGTTCCAAGTCCATGTTTAATTAAATTTACATGAATAATTCCATAAATACCTGCATGTTCATAGAACATAAGTTATCATCTTTGATTCCAAGGCCAAATATGTACTGCTAACAACCCTGGTGTCTCTGAGGGAGGCTTGGCCCCCTGCCAGACTATACTCCTTTTCCCATGAGGGCAGGCCCACCATTACTGTAAAACTCCATGGGGGCTGATGCTCCACCACAAACCTCCTGGTTGCCCAGCAACAACCCCTTATGATTGTTCCTCTGGGACTGCTAGGCAACAGCACTGAATCTAACCCAGCTGCTCTCCATGTACTCCCTCTCAAGAGGGCCCTGGTCACAGGAGGCCAGGGCCTCTAAATGACAAGTTACATAATCTATATATACATTTCTCTGAGTGCTCTCCACTGTCACTAAATAAAAATCAGAGTAGAGCTAGTTCCTAGCCCAAAGGGTACCCTTGACTGCATCCTTAATTTAAACTCTATCCTGGATTTTCAGAGAAGCTGACAGAAAATGAATGCATCTAAGCCAAAACCTTTGGCCAAAAAGTCTATTAAAACACACACACACACAAACAGAGAAAGAGAGAGAGGGAGAGAGAGAGAGGGAGAGAGAGAGAGGGAGAAAGAAAGAAGGAGGAGTAATTCTTTTTAAAATCAGATTTTAAATAGGACTTTCAAAGCTTTCACAATTTCAAAGAACACTGTTATATGTGTCTCACATAAGTAACAGACAAAAAAATGGGGGAAACATAAGAATTAAATTACATCACTTTTATGGCAAGACTACTCCTACAATATTTTAACATAACTCTGTTTAAGTATAGCAATTTCCAGGAAATTCTTCAAGTCACAGCTATAGTTAAACCCACATTTAAATTTTCAGTCTTAATGTTTTCCTTACTTCTACACTCTTAACTCAAACTCAACAAATATAGTCACATGTTCCAATCCATTTCTCCTCTCCTTCTTAGGACAAAGGCAACAACTTGGTTAACCAATCTAAAAGTTTACCCACTGTAGAGGCAGGAATGACCACTGGCAGGTTTTCTGATCCCATGCAGACCGGGTGAAGGAGGAGTCAGAGTCCTTAGTGGTTTTTGCAGGTCTTTTATTGGGATTTACCAGGTACACAGCAGGCAGGGGTCATGGGGGGCCTGGAGGCTGGCAGGCCTCCCAGCCTCCAGCAAGTCTTCACTCTATTTGGGCTCTCCGGTGATCTCTGCTTCTCTGCTCCTCTCTCGGCTTCTCTTTCGGCTTCTACTGGCGTCCCCGAGACGCCGCCCTTAAAAGCCCAGTCTCAGCCTAGGTGAACCCCTTCTACCTATGCCCACACCCTCCTCCAGGTGCCCGCCATCAGGCATGCATTCAGGACCGCAAGGATCCACCATCCATCCTGATGGTGGGAGGGCAGAAAAGCCTGACATTTTTTCCTTACCCTACACCCACACATCTAAACAAGGGTGTAGCCTTGCCCTCTCTTAGGTTCTGCCCCCTATTTCTGTATTATATAGGAAGAGACAAGTGCTCTGAGAGACCTGATCTTACACTCAATACAACACAGCACATAGGAGAGTCTTCTACACCCTAATTCAAAACTAGTCAAGCCCAAGCTATTTGGCATGATGTACAAGGCTCTTCTGAATCTATTTCCTCTCTTCTAACCACATCTGCTAGCCACTATGTTCCTTAAATATATCACCCATTTTGTCTCTTTTCTCTTCCTTGGATACATTCCCCTTTGCTTGGAAAGAGGACCACCAGTTACCTTTGAAGATCTAGAAACATCATCACCTCTGAGAATACATTCCTGATTTTGCAATGAATTATAACCACCTCCAAGCATCATCCTACTTGGTTGACACTACTACAGTGACCTTAGTTACACTGTCTCACAGTTATCTGCCTACTCACATTAAATCCATGCTATTCAAGGTCTAAAACTTGGTTCTGTTCAATCTGATCTCCTTGGTGCCTGACATATTTCTTAGCATTGTGGAAGTGTTTACATATAATAATACATCTTTATTAAAGATCACAGAAAGTAATCACACCAAAGAAAAATTGAAAAATACAAAAGGGTTGAGTATTTTCAATCTCTTAATTAACTAGGGATGAGTACTAAAGCAATTCACCAAAAATAAAAACAAAAATGTTATCTTCTGACCTCTGGACTGGCCTTCTCCCCTAAATTATGATGAATTGTTGAAATCAACATAAACAGTGACCCATTGCCTGAGCCCTTTTAGTACAATAATATAAAACTCAAAGGGCCTCCCTGGTAGTGCAAGGGGTTAAGCACAGCACTATGAAGTTATGTGGAAGACTCTGCAGCACAAGTTCGATCCCCAGCCTGCCAGGACCCACATGGCGCAGCAGACTCCCCTGACTCGCCCGCTGCTCCCCTCAGCAGTGATTTTCAGCCAATCTGGCTGTTCTGCTCCCCACTCTGTCTCTGGTGAATCCTCTCACCTTCCCGCACCTCTAGCCTGTACCCCAGTTCTTGTATGCATAAATAAATAAATCTTTAAAAAAATATATATATATATAAAACTTAAGAAAGTTTCATGGTCAGGTAACCAAAAGCTGGTTTAGATTTGATCTCAGGGAAGATAATATCCCATTTAGATTAATAACTTTGGAAGCAATGGCTGATACACTTAAAGGAGGGATGAGAACATTAAAAAAAAAAGGACTAAACAAAAAGCAAGAAAAGTTATTCTAATTTTAAAACTTCCTAAATAATACTTCACAAAACAGCATTTGCTCAACATCTGTATCCATTAAAGCACTAATTAAAAAAATAAATAGGAACATGAGCAAACTACACACTAAAGCCTAAAATGCAAAAGCCATGTATAATACCACAAAGCTTCTCAACCTCTTACCTCACCATCACAGGAGCTAGAGATATAAGCCTATACTTTCAAATATAGCCATGTTTTTATGTTTTTTCTTAACTCCTTAATTTCACATATACATTTATGCAAATATATTGCCAAACATTTCGATATTAGCAATATGATTGTTTATGTTAAAACAAGAAACGCCAATTCTGATGAATGGAAATCTGAAGTGATAGTCCATGGGTGAAACAGAAAGAGAACACTCAGTGGACTATGAACCTGTGGGGTCTATATATGCTAAGGCTGTGCTTCTCCAACTTGGAAACTGGTAGCCTTGGAAATACCTTTTTGGAAACAAAGTCTGTAAAAGTATAAGCAACTTTCCCAAAATAATACAGCTAACAAGGAAAAGAACTGAGATTTAAATACAGATCTAATTCCAAAGTTTGTGTTTGTTTTGTTCTTTTTTTTAATACATCATATTATACCAGGTTCCCATGCCCTCTTTCCAAAGTGTTCATTTCCATAGTTAAATATGTTCATTTTATGACTAATCTATCACTTCTGCAATGACTCACCACCCTTACCAATGTGTGTGTGTGTGTCTCTGTGTGTGTGTGTGCACACATATGTTCATATGTAGGAGAGACGCTTCCAGAACACTGTGCACTTATTTGTAGGAGCAGAGTGTTAGACCAGGGTAAAACAGAATTGGGCCATCACTGCCCTTGTTCTGGATCAGATACTTATCTTAATACAACTAAAAAATGTGCTATCTTGGTAAGACAATCACTTGACGTTGCCAATTCATATTGAATAGGTCATAAACCAAAATTTTTCCATAATTTTTTACAGATTTTGTAAGTAACAGTTTTTCCTAGCTAATTTCTTTTTAAAAATGTATATAACTCTTATATTTATCCACAAATAAACAAGCTGTTAAAAATTTTTTGACTCATTGAGTGACACTGAATATACAGATGGCTCCCTACACAACACTTTTCAAGGACTAGCTACAAATTTATCTAAAATCCAGTTCTCAACTTCACATGTGAGATTCTTCACTATAGCCTCCAAGTGTCTTTCTGCACTTATCTTCTCCCAGCTTCTTAAATGCTACACAGCTCAGTTTCATTTTTTCCCTGTGTTTGTACTTTTTTTCATGGTATTCTCCCAATCAGGAACCTTACATTCACTCACTGAAATTTCATCATTCCTTCAAGGTTCACCCCAATTGCTACGTCCTTTATAAAATCTATCTGATTAATTTCAAAGTTTTTCTTTCTCTCTGAGACCCCACACTACTTTTTAATTCTTTTATGGCATCTATTATAATCTGCCTCACAGGAAAGTTGTGTGTATTATCTTTTTTCACCTCCACCGAGAAGATGGAACTCTAAGTTTCATGTAGAAATCAGGGTTTCTCACTCATTTCTGGTTGCACTGCAGCACTAAGAATAAGGACGTGAATTCAGGAGAATACTTTTAGTAGGTACTTGTCTATTTGAGTTTACCTAACTATTCATATTAGAGATGCATGTATGAGTTTCAAAAATTCATTAAAAATGTAAATAAAGGACTTTTATATCATCCACAAAAACTAACCTAAAAAATGAATGGGTACATCTATTTATAAAACATGGAACTATAGATTTAAAATACACAGGTACTATTTTCAATATATTGATTTCATGATGAAGTGAAATCATATTCACATGATTCTATTGGCAAAAAAGCAACCTTGAAATCTCAAGAGATTAAGAGACTTGGGCCTCCCTGTGGCACAGGGGTTAAAGTCTCAGTGCCAACAAGCTACTGCCAGCCACTGCAGCCTGAGTTCTATCACTGACCAGGGACCTGACCCACAAGAGGTAGCAGACCTCTCCTGTCTCCTCCCCCTGCTCTCCTCAGCAGTGTATTTCAGTAGATCTGCCTGTGTGCCCCCCACCCTGTCTTTGGTGAATCCTCTCACCACCCCCCACCCCTTGCACTTCCGGCCTACTCTCCAGTTCTCGTATGCATAAATAAATAAGTCTTTTTAAAAAAGAGTCACTTCTTCAGAGTCCAATGACTAGTTAAAAGCTGAATTAGCTATACAACAAAGTTTTTAAATTTCTAGCTTATTTTTTTCACTATCATCTCCAAAATCATGTGTCATATATTTTCTTAAATGTTAACTGAAACAATTTTTTTAAAGATTAACTTATTTGTGCATACAAGACCTGGGGTACAGGTCAGAGATATGGGGGGGTGAGAGGATTCACCAGAGACAGAGTGGGGAACAGAACAGGCAGACTGAAATACACTGCTGAGGGAGCAGCGGGTGAGTCAAGAGAGGTCTGCTGCACCATGTGGGCAGCTC